TCACATCGTAAATTCAACGCTGAAAATCATTCATCGAGCTTAATTCTCACCCCACGGACGCACCCATCCGGTTTGCACCGTACATTGTTAGCCATATGTTGGCAACCTGGAACAGGGTCGCCAACCAAAAACCGCAGTTGATATTAAATTACCGCTTTTGTGGTTTCCGGGCTGTAATCCTATTTATATTATTTTACGTTCACACATGTACCCTTCGCTCCTTCTCCTCATCCCCCGTCAACTCCTCCGTTTTAACTGTGTCGGTCAACAAGTGGCGAGGGGGACTTTGGGCAACGCAAAATGGCGAAAGCGCTCATCAATCCATCGTGATTACGAGTATCGAACATACTGCTACTGCTGCACCAGTTACAATTTTATGTGTAACAGCTGCGGTGTCAATTCTAGAATTAATTCCCTGATTTGCGTCATTGTGCTGATCTCATCTATTGGAGTACCCCGTATTCATATGCGGTTGATTGGAACACGCAAATCGATCGCCAAGATTAAAATGTTTGTGCAGGGCATTCTTGCGGTTCGAAAATCGTTTAAAGCAGGTTACAAAGTCAGAGGGTGGAGGATTAAAATTGAGTTATTTGGAAAATGTTCTGAACTTGTGGATACATACAATTTTACAATTTCAGTACATGACATCCCTCCATTGCACCTGATGACAATCATGAAATTCATCGAGAGAAATCCTCCGGAATTAATGACATTTAACACTTCACTCAGCAACTCGTTGCACAATTCATCATGGTCCAACATCATCAGCACCCGACCAGGTCGGATATCAGATCAGCTTCTGACGAGCGAGGGTGGTAATGTGTTGACAGAAATTGGATACATATTAATTATGGAATAGGCCCAAAAGCAAACGTTCAGCAACAGGTCCTGGTACCGAAGACAGAGACTCCCTGTGTGATTTGAGCAAACAAGCAGCACACAATTACCCTAGAGGAGGGATGATCTTCGTGTCCTTGTGCAACTGAAATAATCCGTTCATCTTCTTCATGAACCACAAACACAACCCTTGGGCTTTCGATGCAGTTGGTCAATATGGTATCATTTATCCACTTATCATACTTCAATAAGGCGAATGAGATTAAGTAAATTTACACTAATTTCTCGATTCTCTAAGGCGAGAAGTGTAACATTGAGAGGCTTGAATGCAAAGTGCAACCTTCCAGAATAAGTACGGCCTCCAGTTATATCTCATGCATGTGTAAAGCGGATTTTGCAACCGCAAACGGTTGCCAAAAAGTCCAAATATATTCCACTTACTGAGCGGAGAAATCGTAGCACAAGTCAGGGCGAATAGTGGAGTACACTGTTCCACTTCCGTTCCTTTGAATGAATTCCTGATGGGTATCTGCATTGCAGGCCGATGATGACGATGCTGACGACGACGATGGGGCCACGGAGTAAATGTATAACATTCCTAGAAGGCTGAAAATGCTGCTGCTGCCAGTGTCATTGGGAATCATTTTTCTCGGAAAGGACAAACTCATTGGATCGGTACGAATCTGTTTCAAGGATGAAGAAGATATATTTGCATTCCGTATTTATTTCATTTCCGATGAATTTTTACGTTTCTGGAGAAAAATAGAAACCTAACAAGTTTTCGTAGGTTGTTGTTCATTTTGCGTGGTTTTCTTAAGAATTTTTTTCTATTTTGTGATATTTGAGAAGTGCTAGGATTATTTTTTCAAGGCTACGGTAGTTGAAGTAAACAGCTTTTGCTGGAAAATTACAACAGAGTGTGTCGAGTGAAACATCATTCACAGGAAATAAAAAAAAGAACAAAGTCGAAACAAAGTGTGTTTGCCGACCAGGCACCATACCGAAGGCTTTCATCATCAGAACAACTTTGTCCGAGATAGCAGCTTCCTAGACGTATATTTCAAGTTGTTTCAGTAAAATTTCACAGAAATCTGTGAAATAATCTTAGAGGGGAGGGAGAAGTAAAGGTTGAACACGAAAAAATCCTGACACATTATAAACGCTGCCATTAAGGTATTTTTTGAGTAAAATTGTTCTAAATTTCACTGAATCAAGCTAAAATATACACGGAAATGAAAACTACCCAAAATTGGTTTCTTTTGACTCAACTTTGGCATTGGCATTGGTTGTTAGGATAAGTTCATTTGTTTACATTGAATAGGCTGAATTTATAAAGAGACAATCGATTATCTGTCAAAGTCATAGGAAAAGATATTCCAATCGAGCAGAAGACCTGTCAAATGGATAAGATTTTTTTTTTGTTAATTAATTTATTTGTATAGGCTCAATCGAATAAACTTTACAGAGCCAAGTTAGTATTTTCTTTATACATTATAAATGCCTTAAATCTAAAATTAAAGGATTTGAACCGATTACTCGCGGTCTTCTCGAGGTTAGTGGATGACAAATGTTTGGATCGGGAAAAGGAAAATGAGATTTGGAATATGATTTATAATTCAAAAATTTCACTATTTCTTAAACATATACCTAATCCTATCGACGTAATTTCTGTAATTTTACAATTATTACAGAAACAAATCTACAAAAAAAAACACACACACACACAGACACACAAAATACAAACTAAACACAAGGTTAATCAAACTTACAATCTATGGTTAGTATTCTTAAAGAAAACATATATGAGTTGCATAAACTCCAGATTGCGTCTAGCCAAAATATCCCGAACTGGAACATAAGGTTGTCTACCACAAGCCCGAAGGGAATCGTACAACTCGGATCTGACTCCACGGTGAACTCAGCACATGACCAAATAATGTGATCGGCGTCCTGGTTGTAACGTTGTTCATCTATTTCGATTAGTTTTCCATATGAATGCGGTTTATTTGTTTAGGATAGGTTTCCAATTAAAGGTAGATCCATCTCCAATGCAATATATTGAATTTATAGCATGGTTCGTTTATTTAATAAATTGCTATAAAATGGTATAATATTTAAATTTCAATGCCTCTTTTCCAATGCAACTTCAAATGTATATCAACACTAGGTTACCAAGTTATAGAATAATGTTGTTTTTCGAACGAAATGTAAGATAGCGTTAGTGCAAAAACGAACATTCTAGAATGTGATAGAAATGTCAAATGTCATTAGCAGTCGACATTGGCCATTTCCTCTAAAAAACGAGGATTCTTCTCGTTCACTTAAAGTTCATAGCAGCTGGTGAGCAGATGTCTTATTTAAAAATTCTTCTCAGTGATCTCCGTTTTAGTTTCAATTAAGTTAAAGTTTCGTAGAAACAAAGCCAAGAAGGCAAAATTTTCCTGCTCTGTGTGCAGTCTATTGAAAATAACAAAGTGTTCGTCCAACGAGCACTTTATATACAGGCTTGATTCCTGTCACGACACCACACACTCACGTGTTGACCGCCATCGCTCGTATGCTCGTTTCGGCCCGCCGTGATCGGTAGTTAAACGGAGTGCTGGTTTCCAATCATCTTAAGGTAACGTCCGAGTGCTTGGGGGTCTTGTGGGAAGGTTTCATTTCGTCCCGTAGTGATCGAGTAGTGGTAGTTCGCGAGGGTCACTCGGCGGGGCACGTTGGCCTTCTTGCAGGATTTCTGGGTTGCTCTGGACGGCCTGCTAACCTTGAAATCGAAAGCTTTCGTCCAGCCGCACCACCTCCGCACCTTTAGTTCGGCCCTCTTTGAACGCATACGAGCCCTCCGAGGTTGGTGAATACCCACCCTACACCACCTTGTCAGCAAAACATCGCCGTGGTTCGATGGACCCCTCGACCGTTCCCGTACCTGCCGAGAAGTCAACGCCAGCATAAACCCTGCGCAGGTACGTCATCAATATGGCCATTACACTAAAACATTTACACGCCACACACACAAAGTTCAACCCGAATAGAGATCTCCAAGCGCAATCTCACAAACACTAAAATCCAACATTCATATATAAAAATGAAGAAGAAGAAGAACCAAAAAGGTATCGCGATATCACAACTACTTAAAAAGGTAGCACGCGGTCTCACGCACACTTTTTTGCATCTGGAGAATGTGTGGGCTGAATATGCCATAGTGTAATATGGGCTGAAGTTGGGTCCCCCGACCATATGGCTCGATGAGATTGTGTGTGTGTGTGCGAACTCTACACAGTCAGCCACGCACTACGACGATTGCCATGACACGGGGCTTTCCACATCCAGAACCCGAAGAGGTAAGACGTGTCTCCGGCAACAGCGCGCTGGGTGATTCCTGAGTGGCAAATGGATCTTCCAATTGGCTATATCCTGCCAGGTTTTTCTAATTCGTACAACAAAAATTTGGAACCTGTCTTTTGGAAAATAGTTCGAACTCATTGAAACATGCACAAGCTACAAGGAATCACCCAGCGGCAAAGAAAAAGTTATATAGTGAAATTCGAGGTTATGTTTGGCACGTGTTCTCTAGAGTCCGGATTCAGGGAAAGGAAAGTCGGCGGAATAGCACGTCCACTACACGAATAAGACGATTTTGAGAACTACCAAATGCCTGTGTGAGTCGCGGAACCACAATCGATCGAGTAAAGTGAGTCAAAATCAGAACAAATCGTGTTGGAACCGCTAACCTAAAAGCGAGTCGAAACCGCTGAAAAGAAAGCGAGTCTGAATCACAAAATCGTGTTGGAACCGTTGAGTTAAAAGCGAATCGAAACCGCTGAATAAAGCGAGTCGGAATCACTAACGCCTGTGAAAAAAGCGAGTCGGAGCCGCAGCACAAAAATCGTATCGAAACCGCTAATCGAAAAGCGAGTCTTTACCGCTGAAAAAAAATGAAAAAGAGCGCTTCGGAATCGCTAACCGAAAAGCAAACCAAAACCAATGAAAGGAAAGCGAGTAAATAATGTCCGTAGCGGAATAGGACGTCCACGACCGAAACCCGAAATACTGATTCTAAGAACAGTCAAACCATTAACCTCGGTCTCGAAATTAAAGGAAGCACTTTCTTTTTTTTGGCAAAATCTTGACATGCGTACACATCTCATTGTCTCTTACAGATACTGCGTAGCAAACTTCAAAGTCAACACCGATCCAAGCAGTAGGATTGAAGAAATGGCATGCAAGAAGCGATATATCCTAGCGGCGGATTCTGCCGAAACAGACGGTAGCAACATCGAGCTTGCCTGTTTCGAGGAAGTACGCTCTGACGAAACTGGAACTGAAACCCATTCTGACGACAACAAACCGGATGAAGACGACGCGTCTGGTTCTAGCTCCGCCGACGAGGACGTTGATTCCGATCAAAGTTCTACCGACGATGAAAGCGAAGACGAGGCTCCCAAGCGTGACTCTAGCAATCATGAAAGCCGCCCAACCTCGGAGTCAGATTGTCATGCGCCGGACTTGCGAGGTAACAAGAAGCCCAACTCACCCACGCAGGAGAACACGGAAGGTCACCGGAAGGTCAACACCGTCGCTAGCACCAGCTCGGCCGCGAAAGACGACGACCGCGACCGTATGGACCGCATGGAAAGAGCTTTGATCGGATTAACTACACTAGTAACGCGGATGGAGTCATCAATCCAACCATCGTCTCCACGCCAACCCGAAACGACCTGGAATTTTCCACGCCCTTCAACCAGCACCGGAGCAACACCGCTAACAATCCGATGGGACAATATAAAACCGTTCCCGAGCGGCGTCCCTGCCAATAGGCTGTGGGAAGAGTGGAACAGGTATATCAATACCTTTGAGATCGCGGCCACGCTGAGTAACGCGAATGACCCCGCCACGAGGACTAATCTGTTGTATCTCTCCATGGGACCGGACTTACAAGAGATCGTTAGTGCCGGCAAACTGTGTCCGGCAAACCTGGATGACGTAAACTGCTTCAAGGCCTTCGTTGAGAACATAACGAATTACTTCCGCGGAATGACGGACATGGCAGCCGAAAATGAGGCGTTTATCCGCATGACGCAAGGTAAAGATGAGACCGCGGTTGCCTTCCACGCCCGCCTCATGTGTAAGGCAAGGTTGTGCAATTTCAAGCTCGATGAGCAAGAACGCATGGTGCAAGCTCAGCTGCTACGCGGTTTGAGGAACAAGGAGATAGTCAAGATGGCTAGACGATACGGACATGCACCAAACATCATCGTCCAGGCAGCAACCCGCGACGAAGCTTACGAAGCGGAAACTGTTCCGCCCGCGGAGGAAAATGTGTTCCAGGTAAGCGACCGAAACGCCCCGAACCACGGACGCAACAGGAAGCCCGACAGGAAGCGTAAAAGTTTGAAGGAACGGGATGACGAACCATCCATGAAACGTCGGCAACAAGACCAAGACCAGCGATGCGAGAAATGCAATTTGACTTACCACAGGAAGGGTGTTTGCCCAGCGCTACGGAAGAATTGTAACTACTGTCGTAAACGCGGCCACTTTGAGGCGGCCTGCCAGAACAAGAGAGTACGTGCTGTCCGATTCAAGCGAGAGGATCCGGAGAACGACCTGTCCGAAGATGACGAAATGGAAGACCGGAAGGTACAGAAGAATTGAATCGATTTTAGATTACGATATTGAATTAAACGAATGATATCTTTGCCAAATCGTACCTTTTTCTTTTCCCTTTTTTAGTGCGTTAACGCTCTCTCGTTGGAGGACACTTTGATTAGTTGTAGTTTGGAGTCATCGAGTCCAATCTGTTTCTTAATCGATTCCGGCGCTGACGTCAATATTGTCGGTGGGCAGGATTGGGAGCATCTGAAGCGAGAATTTGACTCAGGCAAAGCAAAACTCAAGATGGTTGAACTACCCAAAGGGGGAATACACGCTTATGGCTCTAAAGATTCAATGGTTGTGGAATGCTCTTTCCAAGCAAAGATTACTGTAACGGCTGCTACTAAGCCATCTGTTACTGCTACATTTCACGTCATACGCAAGGGAAATAGGTCGCTTTTAGGCCGATCGACGGCCAGTGACCTGCGGTTACTGCAGGTTGGTACAGCTGTCAACAATTGCGAAGCCTTGAGCGACGAGGGTGAGTTTCCGAAAATGCCCGGAGTCACGGTCAAGTTCAGCGTGAACAAAGCGATCGCCCCAGTGAAAAATGCGTATTATAACGTACCCGCCGCATACAGGGAGGCAGCAAGACAAAGGCTGAGTGAAATGGAGAAACGCGGCATAATCGAAAAGGTAACTGCAGCACCCAACTGGATCAGCGGAATGTCAGCTGTCCCGAAAGGGAAGACCGATTTCAGATTGGTGGTGAACATGAGGGCACCGAATAGAGCCATCAATCGAGAATATTTCCGGCTCCCTCTTATTGAGGAGATGAAGGTCAAGCTCCATGGAGCACGATACTTCTCGAAACTAGATCTGAGTAACGCGTTTCACCATCTTGAGCTGTCGAAGGAATCGAGGGACCTTACAACCTTTCTGACCGAAGAAGGGATGTACAGATTTACCCGCCTCATGTTCGGAGTCAACTGCGCTCCCGAAGTGTTCCAGCGCGAGATGACGCGTATATTGAAGGACGCAGGGAATGTAATCGTGTACATCGACGACGTACTAATATTCGCGCAGACACTAGAGGAGCTCCGACGGTCCGTTGCTAAGGTTTTAAATATCTTGAGGGAAAATAACTTGACCCTGAACACAGCAAAATGCGAGTTCGACCAAACTAGGATCAAATTCCTGGGGCACGAGCTGGATGCTGATGGGTTCCACATAGATGAGGACAAGATCAGCAGCGTACGGAACTTCAGAGAACCGGCAACACTCTCAGAGCTTAGAAGCTTCCTGGGGTTGGCTTCGTTCGTCAGCCCATACCTGAAGAACTTCGCGAACAATTCAAGTCCTCTGTGGGCCGCGACAACTTCGAAAACGTGGACTTGGGGACAGAAAGAAAAAGAAGCATTCAACCTAATCAAACAGCAGATCGTAGAAAATACAATAGCACTAGGCTATTTTTCCGAGAAAGACAGAACAGTGCTATATACCGACGCATCACCGGTGGCTTTGGGCGCCGTGTTAGTCCAAGAGAGCGACGGACACGCACCAAGAATAATAAGCTTTGCGTCGAAATCCCTCACTGCTACCGAGAGGAAATACGCCCAAAATCAACGTGAGGCACTCGGCGCGGTTTGGGCCGTCGAACACTTTTCGTTCTTCCTCCTCGGGAGAAGTTTCACTCTGCGCACGGACGCACAAGGTGTGGCGTTCATCTTGAATCGCAATCGGGAAGAATCCAAGCGGGCGCTTACCCGCGCCGATGGTTGGGCGCTTCGGTTGAGCCCGTACAATTATGCTGTGGAATACGTACGGGGTCGAGACAATATTGCCGACTCCTCATCAAGGCTGTACTGTGGTGATGATGCCCCTTTCGACGAGGATTCCAGTCCATGGCAGGTCGCTTGTCTGGAGGCAAACTGCGTTGAATTTCTAACCGAACATGACATCAGAATCGCTACCGCAGCAGATGATAAACTCCAAAAAGTGTTGAATGCTCTGGACACCGGTAAATGGTCTACTGATCTGCGAAGGTATAAAGCTGTGGAAAACGATCTGAGCATACACGATGGCATCCTCATTAAGACGGGTTGCGCTGTCATACCGAAATCCCTCCGGACGAAGGCCCTTCAGGTTGCGCATGAAGGCCATCCGGCAGCGCCTAAAATGAAGAACATAATAAGACAGCGTGTCTGGTGGCCCGAAATCTCAAAAGACGTTCAGAAGTGGGTTGAAGGTTGCAGGACGTGTGCCATTAACGGGAAACCTGAAAAACCAACCCCGATGGAACGGATTTTTATGCCCAAGACCGTTTGGGAAACGATAGCCCTCGATTTCAACGGTCCCTACGCAAAGTTTGGGGGGATTTCGATCCTCGTAATCGTCGATTACCGGTCTAGGTACATCTTCGCCAAACCGGTAAAGTCCACCAACTATGAGTCCGTTAGGAAAGTACTTGATGGCGTGTTCGAAAGAGAAGGATACCCTAAATGCATCAAGACCGATAATGGGCCACCGTTTAGCAGCGAGGATTATAAAACTTTCTGCAGGAAACGGGGAATTCACACGGTTTATTCTACTCCCCTATTCCCACAGCAAAATGGGCTGGTGGAATCATGTATGAAAGTGGTTAACAAAGCGATGGTTGCGGCATCCTCCGATAACACAAATTTCACCGAAGAGCTGCGTCAAGCCGTTAATGCGCACAACGCAGCCTCGCACAGCGTTACGAAAGTGCCACCGGAGGAAGTAATGCTTGGCCGTAAAGTTAAACGCGGTCTTCCTCTTTTACAGCACGCAAAAGCATCATTCGACGAGGACCTTCTCGAAAAAACCGACCGAGAATCGAAGCTATCGGGTAAGCGGCGCGAAGATGCCCGACGTGGCGCACGGAAGTGCAAGGTAAAACCCGGAGACACAGTTATCGTCGAACGACACACACGCGCTAAAGGAGACTCGCGGTTTGCCCCCAAACGATACACAGTAATTCAAGAAAGGAACGGTAGCCTTACGCTGAATGATGATGACGGACAGGTACTGAAACGGCATGTCTCTCAAACTAAGAGAGTGTCCTCTTGGCGCAGCAACAAACCAGCAGACACCACTCAATCTCGGCCAATCCCAACGAAACCGCTAGTGACAACGAGCACGGATACGATGCGGACATTGAAGGCACCAGAGGCTACACGAACAGCACGGGAAAGGAAGGCTCCATCTCATCTGAGCGATTATGTTAGATTGATCGATAGTAACACCACCAGATAATCTGTTGATCCGCCTACAATTAAATTAAATCATCTACGTAAAATACACTTTTTCCTTCATAACTAATTTCAACCATTTTTGATATGGAAACAAATCTGGCTCGTTTAATTTTGAAACTTACGTCGAATAAACAAAATCCTCCCCACTCACTTACGCGACCAACGCGAGTTGTTTTGTTTTGGAAAATTTGACAGTTTGCAAATAAAAGGGAATCTAGGCTACCCAGTGTAAAATTTCTGGGTGCGCTGCGTCTATGAGGTGAATGAGCTGGTGTGGCAATCGAATAGAGATGTGGTGCGGTGAAATAAATTCTACTAACTTTTATTTCTTCTTTCATGAACTGTGCGTTGCGCAAAAAAAACTTCTCGCTCTCCTACCGCCGTTTTCGCTGTAGAAGTGCGAGAAATTACGAAGAAACGAGCAATATTTATTTTACTGTGAGAGTATGAGCCATATGAGGCTTTGAATTTCAAGTATTATATACAAGTCATCTGAATTTTGGAAAGTACTGTTATTGGTTTTGCTTAAAAAATCTAGAGTACCGAAATCTTGAAAAAAAATAACTTTGAAAGGTACATAAAAAAAAAGAAGAGAAAGAGATTGCATTCTCATTTTATTCTGAGAAAGGGGGATGTGTGGGCTGAATATGCCATAGTATATGGGCTGAAGTTGGGTCCCCCGACCATATGGCTCGATGAGATTGTGTGTGTGTGTGCGAACTCTACACAGTCAGCCACGCACTACGACGATTGCCATGACACGGGGCTTTCCACATCCAGAACCCGAAGAGGTAAGACGTGTCTCCGGCAACAGCGCGCTGGGTGATTCCTGAGTGGCAAATGGATCTTCACAGAGAATTCGATTAGAAAAGATGAATTAAAATGAATTAAAGTTCATTCAAATGAAATTACCTTTTGTTCTGATTTATGCAACGAACCATTCCCTAGGTAAAAGCTTTCCGTTCACTTCGATTCACTTTCGTTTACGTTCACCTCTTTTTTTTTTTTTTTTTTTTTTTTTTTTTTTTTTTTTTTTTTTTTTTTTTTTTAACTCTTTATTTGTTCCAAATTCAAAATAAATTACATTTCATTTTAACCTAGGTGCTCCAGTTACTGCAGTAACTTACCAGCCTTAATTGTTATGATATATATCTAAGTGTTTTTACATTGTTCATGTCTTGGCAATTCAGTATTTTAAACAGGTTTTTTTTACCTGCATGTCAGTATAACAATTGATATCTTAAAACTAAACACTAAAACTAAATCTTATCTAAGTATAAAGGGAATTAATCGTTGCAATTGAGGATTGTAACGATTTTTGCCTGAAATTATTAATTATTTTGTTGGACATTTGTTCTAAAGTCTCAACATTCAAAATTCTATGTACATCAGTAGTACTGTACCAGGGAGGCAACTTCAAAATCATTTTCAGAATTTTGTTCTGAATCCTTTGAAGTGCTTTTTTCCTGGTAATGCAGCAACTAGACCATATTGGCACAGCGTAAAGCATGGCCGGTCTAAAAACTTGTTTAAATATTGGAAGTTTATTCGTCAGGCAAAGTTTGGATTTCCTGTTTATAAGAGGATACAAACATTTTATATATTTGTTACATTTGGCTTGAATGCCCTCAATGTGATCTTTAAAAGTTAATTTATGGTCAAGTATTAATCCAAGATATTTCACTTGGTTTGACCAGGAAATTGGAACTCCGTTCATAGTGACTATGTGACTACTACTAGGTTTCAAAAAGGAAGCCCTGGGCTTATGTGGAAATATTATAAGTTGAGTTTTGGAAGCGTTGGGAGAAATCTTCCATTTTTGTAAATAAGAAGAGAAAATATCTAAACTTTTCTGAAGTCTGCTGCAAATAACACGAAGACTTCTTCCTTTAGCGGAAATGCCTGTGTCATCAGCGAACAAAGATTTGTGGCAACCCTGAGGCAAATCAGGGAGGTCCGAAGTGAAAATGTTATACAATATAGGCCCAAGAATGCTACCCTGAGGAACTCCTGCTCTAACAGGTAGTCGATTAGATTTGGAATTTTGATAATTTACCTGCAGAGTTCTGTCAGTTAAATAATTTTGAACTAATTTCATAATGTAAAGTGGAAAATTAAACTTTTTCAATTTAGCAATCAAACCTTCATGCCAAACACTGTCGAATGCTTTTTCTATGTCTAGAAGAGCAACTCCAGTTGAGTGGCCTTCAGATTTGTTTGAACGAATTAAATTGGTAACTCTCAAGAGTTGATGAGTAGTTGAATGCCCATGGCGAAATCCAAACTGCTCATCTGCAAAAATTGAGTTCGTATTGATGTGAAGCATCATTCTATTCAAAATTATTTTTTCAAAAAGTTTACTTATTGAAGAAAGCAAACTTATTGGACGGTAGCTAGAAGCTTCAGCTGGATTTTTATCCAGCTTCAAAATTGGAACAACTTTTGCATTTTTCCATTTATCAGGAAAGTATGCCAAATGGAAACATCTGTTAAATAATTTTACCAAGAAAGACAAGGTACTCTCTGGGAGTTTTTTGATGAGGATATAGAAAATTCCATCATCACCTGGAGCTTTCATATTTTGAAATTTTTTAGTTATAGACCTTACTTCGTCCAAATCAGTCCCCCAGGAATCATCAAAAATATTTTCCCGAGAGAAAATATTCCGAAAATCCCGAGCAACCTGATTCTCAATAGGACTAGTAAGACCCAAACTGAAATTATGGGAACTCTCGAATTGCTTAGCAAGTTTCTGAGCTTTTTCCAAATTTGTGATCAAAATTTTACCACCTTCTTTTAGCGCTGGAATTGGCTTTTGAGGTTTTTTCAAAATTTTTGTGAGTTTCCAAAAGGGTTTGGAACTCGGTTCTAATTTAGAAACATTATTTTCAAAAGTTTTGTTCCTCAGGGCAGAGAATCGCTTTTTAATTTGTTTTTGCAAATCCCGCCAGATAACTTTCATGGCAGGATCGCGTGTTCTTTGAAATTGTCTCCTACGGACATTTTTAAGACGGATCAAGAGCTGAAGATCATCGTCTATTATAATTGAATCGAATTTAACCTCGCATTTTGGTATTGAGGTAGCTCTTGCTTCAACTATAGAAGTAGTCAGAGATTCAAGAGCATAATTAATTTCATCTTTGGTTTGCAAAGGAATGTTTGGATCGAAGTTATATTCCATAAATGTTCGATATTGCTCCCAATCAGCCCTATGGTAATTGAAAGTAGAGCTGTTGGGATTAGAAATTATTTCTTGGGATATTTCAAAAGTTACTGGAAGGTGATCAGAACCGAAGTCAGCATGGGTAACCAATTGGCTACAAAGATGACATGAATCAGTTAAGACCAAATCAATAGTTGAGGGATTTCTTGCAGAAGAAAAGCATGTTGGGCTGTTTGGATATTGAATAGTGTAATAACCTGCAGAACAATCATCAAACAGAATATTACCATTGGAATTGCTTTGAGCATTATTCCATGAGCGGTGTTTTGCATTAAAATCACCAATAATGAAGAATTTAGACCTATGACGGGTAAGTTTCTGGAGGTCACCCTTGAGAAAATTCTTTTGCTGGCCTACGCATTGGAATGGCAAATAGGCAGCTATAAACGTAAGTTGTCCAAATTTTGTTTCAACAGAAACCCCCAAAGTTTCAAAAACTTTGGTTTCAAATGAAGAAAGAATTTTATGTTTGATTCGTCTATGAATAATGATGGCAACGCCACCACAGGGTCCATCAAGACGATCATTTCTATAAATCAAGTAATTTGCGTCCTTCTTAACCTTATGGGCAGGTTTAAGGAACGTTTCAGTTATAACGGCAATATGCACGTTATGAACTCTTAAAAAGTTAAATAGCTCGTCTTCATTATCTTTAAGAGATCGAGCATTCCAATTTACAATATTTAATGCTTTAAAATCCATTACTGAATTTTAAAGTCATGACAATATTATTAGCAAATTTTACTCCAGTTTGAATAGCATCAAACATGGAGTTAGATTTAAGCATATCAGAAATCATGTCAATTAATGAATTCTGTAAAAATTCCATTTTAGGGGCAGTAATGCTTCCTAAGTCAAAATTGTCAAAATTTCCGTTAGAACGTTGGTTAGTATTTTGATTTCTACCCGCTGCAATAGCAGCATAGGTAGCTCCATTAACTCGCTGAACATTGTTAGCAGCGAGGGGAGTAGGTACAGATGAAACATTTGAAGCAGGGGTGATATTTGTACCTACGGGTACGAATGTAGAATTTGTTCCTCGCTGACCGTTGTTAACAGCAGAGGAATTTGTACCTGGTCGGAAACGTGGAGCGTTTCCTACCTGTCGGTTAGAACGAGATTGTAGGATCGCTTTGCGAGTCTTACATTCCCAAAAATTGGATTTGTGGTTTTCACCACAATTTGAACATTTAAATTTCTTAGGATCTTCCTTCACAGGACAGTCGTCCTTTGCGTGAGAGGAATCACCACAATTCATGCATTTAGCTGGCATGTAGCAATTTTTAGTTCCGTGACCCCATCCCTGGCACTTACGGCACTGAGTGAGGTTTTGGAAATTTCCTCCAGTCTTCCTGAAGTGTTCCCACTTCACTCGGACATGGAGCATAAGGCTAGCTTTTTCTTAGGCCTTAAGGTTGTTTAGTTCACTAGACTTGAAGTGAACTAAATAAAAATCATTAGAAATCCCGTTGCGCGAATCGCCAGGACGGGATTTCATTTTCATTTTGATTACTTGGAGTGGCACAACTCCAAGTAATTTTGCCAGTTCATCTTTGATCTGATCCAGGGATTCACCACTGGGCAGTCCTTTCATGACAACCTTGAACACACGTTCAGTTTTGGTGTCGTAAGTAAAAAATTTGTGCTTCTTCTCAGTAAGATACTTGAGAAGACATTTAAATCCGTCCAAGGTTTCAGCCAATACACGGCATTCACCCCGACGTCCAATTTGTAGTGAAAACTTAACTTT